CAGAAAGAAATGCAGGTTTTGTAGTCTATTTGTTTCACATTGTTATGGAATTTAGGTCGCTCCGAAATTGACATGTGTCATTAGTGAATCATGAAATGAAGTAGGTTGAAAATGGCACGTATCATTTGTTAACCATAAAATGAAGTACAGTAGCTCGTTTTAGATTCGGTATCCATTTACCGATTAAAAAAAAAGCAAAAAAATAAAAAAAAATTATTATATGCTTTCTTAACGTTAAGTGATTTTATATATTAAATGAAAATTAAATCTTTTAAGACTTTGAAAAAGACTAAGCTGTGTTGAAGAATAAAAATATTTTGTATAGCTATTAAATATAGCATGTAGATTATATAAAAAGTGTATAAAAAAGCAATAAAAAAGTGATAGCTTTTGTTTATATTCAAATACTATTAAAAATTAATCATGTTAGGGTTAGGGTGAGAACTATGTTAGGGTTTGGATTTAGATAGTTACATAGTAAAATCACTCAATGAAAACTTTTTATTAATGCACAGAAGATGGTTTGATATGCAATTTCTTGTCAAAACGAACGTTTGTTTTGAATTTTCCTAATCATGTAATATTACAACTGATATATAAGTCACATAATGCAGGTATATATACGTAGATACATGTATATAACCCCTAATAAAAATACGTAAATTGCTTGAAATTAATATTATTAGTTAAAACTATTTTTAAAAATGTCAAAAGACAAACTGAAATTTTAGAGCTTTAAAAAAATAAAACTATTGAAGAAAGTCAAATATCAAATCATTTAAGATTTTAAAATAATTGAGCAATGTTAGTAAATCAAAATATTTAATATGTAGCTAATTAGTATAGTATATAGTTTATGTAAAAAATATATATAAAAAACAAGTAATATAACAGCTTTTTGTTTGTATTTGAATAATACTAAAAGAAAATTAGACTTCAGGTTTTTGAATTTATTATTAAATCAAATCAGCTATAATAATCTATCTAAATATTTAAATAAATTTTATTATTATATTGTTATAATTTTTTCTTTTTAATGCTTTCTTTAAGTACTTTACATATGTAAGTAGTTTATTGACATTATTATTACTAAAAATTATTTCTAATTTCTAAGTTATTTAGCTCTAAGTTTCAAGACTAAATTTAATGAAAGTTATTGATTGAGAAGCATTGTATATAATAGTATAATTATGCATTTATGTGTTAAATTAAATACTAGTGTTAGGTAAAAGCCTATGTTAGAAATAGTGATTGTATTCATTCTTAAATCCAAACTGTTTATTTGTAGGTAGGTTACTCAGATAGTAATATTTATTAATACAGATTTTACTGTTATTACTTTTTTTTCTGTAGTTCAGCTTTCTGAAATGCAATTTTACAGAATTAACAATTACAATATTTTTTTATTCTAATAAAACACATTTATACTCTTTTTATTTTATCAATACTCATCTTACTAACAGTTTAATTAATTAATAGTTTAACTCACCAAACATTTATTTTATTAATAATTATTTCACCAACAAAGTAATTTTAGTTATTTCTGTTAGGTTATATTTAGAATTAAATTAGGATTAGTATAATTTTTAAAAAAATCTGTTGATAAATATTATTAGTGAAATAATTGTTAGTAAAAAAACTGTTTAGTAAATTGACTGTTAATAAAACAAGAGTTAGTAAATTGATAATATAAATAATATATGATATCAAATATATATAGCAACAAAAAGATTAATAATTATATACAAGTATTTTATTTTCTTTAATTACTTTCTATTCTTGTCTCTTTTACTTGATTTGTCATCTTCTACTGGTATTACAACTAGGGAGAGCTTTTATATATCCAAGCCAATTTAGTACAGTGCCATAAGCATAAATCCTGATGGTAAGTAGCACAACCCGGATTCATATGTAGTAATAATTATCGATTAATAGGACTATATTCAGAAGAGGTCATCATATGCTATGCTTAGGTCACTTAGGGTCCAAGTCAGGTCACTACAAGTTACGTTTAGGTTCAAGTTAGATCACCGCAGGTTACATTTAGGTTCGAGTTAAATCACTGCAGGCTACGTTTAGGTACGAGTTAGATTACCGCAGGTTACTATGTGTTACTTAATAGATAAGATTAGTGCATATTATTTATTATTGGGTACAAGAATAAGAAAGAACTAGGTCACGTATCCACTGTAATTATTGTCACAGATCAAAATGAAATCTGATCAAAATGAAACTGGGAACCTCTCATACCCACCCTTAGAGCCTATAAAACCCACATATACTCATTTATTAATAAACCTAACCCTAAACCCTACCCCTAATGCTAAAAAGAACCCCAAAAAATGTCCTCCAAAAAATTTTAAATTTTCCTTAAAAAACAGAAAAATTTCGTTTTGATCAGATTTCGTTTTAATCTGTGACAGTTCTTGAGTTATCTTTAAAAAAACTTCTTTTTTACATATAAACTTTTTTAAAAAAAATTGATTTTTTTAAAGAAATTTTATATGTGAAAAAGAAGTTTTTTTAAAGATAACTCAAGAACTACCAGGCTAATTTTAATGTTCTTTTATTATTAAATGCATCTTAATGAGCTTTACAATTTCTGTTAAAAGCCCAAGAGTGATTTATTTAGTAAAAAAAAAAGTTTTAGATAAGAGTGCTGCACTTTTGCACTTATAGTAAAATTTATATATAAAAAAAAAATTTTTTTGTCCAGGTCTCAAGTGGATTGCCTATTAAGTTAATATATAAAGAAATAAACTATCAGGTTTCAAAGTTTATATATAATTTTATATATTTTTGCTATAAGTTTATATATAAAAAAATTTAGGTGTAAGGATGTAGCACTTAGTGAAGTTTGTAAGTTGTTATATTCTCAAGCAGCAGAACAAGAGTTTGAATCCTACTGACAACGAAATTTGAATTTTACAGAATGTATTATAGCAGACTGTATGTAATCTGATGGATCATCGGATCTGTAGCTTTGGTCGTATTAGCTCGTATTAGAAGAATGTAGAACTATAGTATGATATATGAGTTATATAAAATCTAAATAAAATGTTTGTGTAAATCCAAGGGCTGGAGCATACAGAATCCCACTTGGCAAGTTCTGAGTAGAGAGATAGCACAGATTTTTGACAGTACTATGTAAAGGATTATCACCAAAGAACTGAAAACCGAACAAAACTAAGATGTTCAGCAAGGCACCAACCAACCAGATCGCTAGTATATTCCGGGGAAGAGGTCTGCCCTTCCAGGCTATTTGGATTTGGAGTTTGGGAAACCAGAGAAACAATGGGAGTCCGTAAAGTGGGTGCTGGGGTTTGGGTGAACTCTATAAGAGCAAAAGTAGATAATAGTAGCAGCTTTAGCTCGCAAGTACTTGTTCTCAGACTTGGTGTAAGTTACTGAAGTCTAGATTAGCCGAATTGTAGGTATAGAAAGCTCTAGCAATGATGCCTTGAGAATAAATTAATCCTAAGACTATGCCAAGCATTCAGAACTTCTCAACTAACAAATATAGCGAAGATGTCTCAGTGACATAACAAGTGAGGGTCCAGTTGCGTTACAGAGGGTTTAAATAGGTAATCCTCTTGTTGGGTTATAGATATAGCAGCTAGTATAGAACCTATAGTGTACAGTTAGTTATCTATATATGGACTACTTAAATAGGTGCTCAAAAGGCGCATATGTGGCTAGTTGTACTCTCTAATATAATTTGGGATTCTACTGTAAGCCCCCCATACCCAATATTTGCTTGAATAAAAACCCTTATGCCAAAGAGGCTAGTTAATTAAAATAAAAAATAAAAATTTAGATGTGACTTATCATGCAACTAATATACTCTTTTATTATAACTTTAATTCTAAATTTTAATCTAACTTTAAAAAAACTAAAAAAAATAGCTTAAATTTTTAGCATTATCTGATTCTAAGCTTCATTCTTAACAATAATTAATAAATTATTTAAAAATATATAATTATAGTATATATTTTTTTAGATGCTAAACATATGTTACTTAGAAATTAATATAGATTATTTTAATAAAATTTTAACTAATTTTAATTTATTTAATTATTTAATATTGTTTAAAGTATCTCAACTTGCTGTCAACAACTGTTTTGTAACAACACTAACCTTAAATATAGCCTATTTTAGTAAAGAAACTTCTATAATTTTTATTTAATATAAGCCTACTCTTTCTACATATAATTTTTTAATTAATCAATTAGATTTTACAATTAGATATAATATTTAATTGTAAATTACTTTGATATACTAAGTTAATTTTAATAATTTAACTACCAAAATAATTCTTTTAAAGAAAGGATTTTAGTAAATTCAAAATTATTAAAATATAATCACTAAATTCTAAAATTGGAATAGATTTGTATTACTATAAAAGTTTTATATTTATTAAAAATTTATAAACTATTTATATTAATATAAATCTATTCTGATCTTAGGATTCTGTAATTTGATTTTTATATTTTGAGTTTATAGAATTTTTTCAATAAGAGAATTATATTGGTAATTAAATTATAAAATTTGATTCAATAAATTACAAAGTTATTTTTTATTAACCTTCACAATATCATATGAAGGTAGATTTTTATTATTATTTAAGTATTACATCTTAATTAATGAGAGTATATTTAGCCATATATAGTGAATTGACTTATTTAAAAACTCGGATTATCTGATGGGTGAACAATATGCTACTCAGGTGAAATAGATCAAATTAAAAAAAGTCACCATCTGAGTCACCTGATGGGTCACCTGACAGATCATCTGATAAATTATACAGATTAAGTAAAAAAAACTTTGAAGTTTATAGACCAATATTTGTATATTTGGCTGATATAAATCAATTGTACAGGTAACTTATTTATATACTTTAAAGTACTTTTTAAGAGCATAACATTTTACTAACTAAAAACTATAATAAATACTACTAATATATATAGTATCATGGAGTTAATTAAAGAATGCTATATCCTCTAAATATCTAGTGCTGGGATGGTTATAGCTTCGCTCTGGGTGGCTTAAGGGATGCCGACTTTGTTAATATTCTCGTGTTAATAACTAAGATTTTAGCTTTCTTATCATTTAGTACTGCTTGTATCTTTTGATGTTTATTAATAAAGGCTTTCTTTTTTAATTCGAAATAATGGGTTTAGGTTTAGACTTTATTGTGTATTCCCAGAGAAAAATCTCCTTATTATCTTTACTCTTCTCTTTATTTATGTTCTCTATTTTTCTAATCGTAATACATCCAATTGACAAACTACAAAAATATTACTACATTGTTCATGCGCTACTTATTACTACATTGTTTATACGATACTAATTGCTACTTATTACTACATTGTTCATGCGATACTAATCACTACTTATTACTACATTATTTATATAATACTAATCACTACTTATTACTACATTATTCATGCAATACTAATCGATTTCTTGTCCAACTTCTGATCACCTGACTTATCTCTCATTATCAAGTCACATGCATTGGGATCAAAACCATGACACAAGCTATACCTCCTTAGATCATTGTCCATGAGATTTATACTTAAAGTTTTCTCATTGTTGTCATTTCTATTTAAGGTATATGACTTAAGCTTTTTAATTCTATTTTTAGTGACAGAATCCTTAAAAGGGATCCCATTAATTTCATTAATATAGAATTGACCTTTGTCCCTGATTTTTCTTATCACATATGGCCCAAGCTATCAATAATCAAGCTTTCTCGACAGAGCTGTGTTTAGTGTTGAATCATATACTAATACTAGATCTCCTATATTTATTTTTTCTTTCTCCTTTGCATGTTTATCATAAAAATACTTCTATCAGTGCTGAAGTTTATCTCTAGTTGTTCTTGCATGTTGCAGATCTCCTACTATTTCACTTATTTGTCGTATTCTATATTCTAAAAGTTCTTCTATAGTCCATTTGACTCTGCCCATAAACATTTGTAGCTCTCTAAGGTTAACTCAACAGGTGTAATTGCATCTCGGCCATATACAAGATAAAATAGTGAATAGCCAAGATCTGTAACTGTGATATTTATCACCCATACTGCTCCTCTAACATATTCATGCCACTTATTTTGTTTCTCAGTACAGATTTTTTGCAAGACGTGAGAAATTTTTTGTATAGTGTATTTAGCTCTTTCATTTGCTTCAGGGTGGTAACTGGCTACAAACTATTGATTCATATTTAATCGACAGGTGAGTTCATCAAGTAGTCCATTTTTAAATTCCGTTCCTCTATCAGAAACTAGTACTGAAAAACATCTATGCCTTGTTATTATATCTTCCCATCAACCTCCTGCCAAATGAGGCCTCTTTTTTTAGCATAATCCTTATGCATCAAGTTTAACCGGGACCCTGGGTCTATTGGTACCTTAACAATATCTCTATTAATATACACAGTACAGACAGATACTATTTCATTATTACTTAGATCAGTCTTTCTCCTCACGACTTTAACAAGACTAATCTTAGCATCTAACTGCACCACATCACTCTCTTTCTTGTAACAAGTCAAGAATTTCAAAACTTTAGCTCTTGCTTTCAGAAACCACTTAAAAAGCTGTCCCAAGGTTACAATCACTTCCAATTTGGCGATTTTCTGCAACAGATCAAGTTCCTGAACTAACTTTGATATAGGAATATACATTATCATCTTTTTTTGTTGTGCTTCAGTTATGTCATTATTATTAACTATCTTCTCCTTCTTATTAGAACGTTCTTCTTCCACCATGTACCGATGTTTTCGTAAGTTCCTAATATTAAAAGTCTTTTGGTCGGTGTCTTTTTCAATATTTAAACAGTTTTTTGCATCTAACACCTTTTCTTTAATTGTTGTTCTTATGGATTGACATTCTTTATTGTCTACAAATTCGAAAAATCTCACATCCGTCTTTTTGACTGTTAGTATAGGTTCTTTTCCTTTTTTTGACTCACCTCTTTCTTGCTTCTTCTTATTCGGCCAGTTGTATGATATATGCACAATTTCTTGGCATATGAAACACTTTCGAGATTCTGGCCCTTTTCGGTCTTGCAGTTTTCTTGTTACCTCATTCATAGTTTTAGTAAGCTCATTCACCATGGCTTTGACTTCTTTTAACTCACTTGTTGAGGTCTTCATTATGCTCTGTATTTTGAGGTTTTCAAACGCCTTTGTCAGTTGTGCTACTCCTGCATCCTCATTTGCAGTTGGTGATGCTTCTTCAGATAATATTCTTGTTGCTTTTTCACATCATATTTGTTGTTTTTATTGTACATTTCAATTTGCAGGGCAAGCTCTTTTGCCTTCGTAAACGCTTTAGGATACTTTTCTTTCACCTTTTCTTTAAGTGAACCCTTAAGCTCAGCAACATACTATTGTCTTTTTGCTCTCTTCTATATTTCCGTTTTTACTGGATCCAAGCATGCTTCAAATTGATTAGTATAACTCGTAATAGATTTATTCACTATTTGTTTCATATTTATTAACCTATCTATCTTTTCTTCAGTACTATACGAAGCAGACGCTCTATTAATAACACTCTTCCTCAAATCTGCCTAAGTGGTCTGAGTCTTGATCAGGCCCCTTATCCATAGCCTCAAATGATCATCTATGAATAGATCCAATACTTGTCACTTACAGGTATCGTCCCAGTCTTTTGATGTAGCATAAGCTTCGAAATCGAGCAAGAACCCTTTAATATCTTTTCCTTTTTTTCTGTGATAGAAAGGTTTGGTTTTATCAGTTGTTGTCATTTGTTATTACTTTTAACCTGTTATCACTACTATACTAATGATTTTCCTTAAACACTTGTATGGTGCTGAGCGAGAAACTTGGTGATTTGTCCAGATCCTATTTGTCATAGAGTTAATTAAAGGATGTTATATCCTCTAAATATCTAGTGCTGGATGGTTATAGCTTCACTCTGAGTGGCTCAAAGGATGCTAACTTTGTTAATATTCTCATGTTAATAACTAAGATTTTAGCTTTCTTATCATTTAGTACTGCTTATATCTTTTGATATTTATTAATAAAGGTATTTTTTATTAATTCAAAATAATGTATTTAGGTTTAGACTTTATTGTGTGTTCTCAGGAAAGAATCTCCTTATTATCTTTACTCTTCCCTTTATTTATGTTTTCTATTTTTCTAACAAACTACGAAAATATTATTATATTGTTCATGTGCTACTTATTACTACATTGTTCATACGATACTAATTGCTAATCACTATTTATTACTACATTGTTTATGCAATACTAATTATTACTTATTACTACATTATTCATGTGATACTAATCGCTACTTATTACTATATTATTCATGTAATACTAATCACTACTTATTACTACATTGATTGTACCCGATTTCTTGTCCAACCCCCATCACCTGACTTATCTCTCATTATCAAGTCATATGTATTGGGATCAAAACCGTGATAATGGAAGAGTATTAATGTTCTTATATAAAAATAATCAAAAAATAATCAAGAACCTTGAAAACTTCACCTAGAAGTAAATATTTTACTATTTGTTTTTACTTATTACTTTATTAGCAATATATAAGTATTAAATACCTGAAATTGTCAACTGAAAAAGACTAAAAAGAACAATCAAGATGTAAGTATTATACAATAAAGGACTTTTTATTACTGTTTAATTTATTATGTTAAAAATAGATTTAAATATTTTTATATCTTGTGTATTAGAAATTAGTTCATTAGATCTGATAGTATACAAATTCTTTTGTATAAATCTATTTATTTAATATATTAGGTACTCAGATTTGGGTTCATTATTAATGATTTTTTTTTTTAATATTAAGGTAACCTCTTTGCTACACTACTCTTTATTCAGATATTAGTAGTATTTTAACTATCAGAATATTCTGATAGCTGTAGAGTATACTAGCTATATCTGTACCTTTTGAGCATCTATTTAAGTATTTGCCTATTACTAGATTCTACACTAGATGCTGTATCTGCACTCCACTAAGGGGATTACTCATTTAAACCCTTTGTGTCTATATACCAACCCTTTTATATTTAAGTAATAATACTTAGTACCACCTTATTTTCACATACTAGCTTAGGGCTTTAAAGTAGTCTCAACCATTTTAGAGAATCCTTTAACCTTAAGATAAACTTGCTAGAGCCTTCTATATCCACATTTAGGCTAATCTAGACTTTGGTAACTTATATCTAGTCTGAGAACAAGTACTTGCAGCCTTTTATTTCTGCTACCATTATCTACTTCTGCACTTGTAGAGTTCACTTATATCTCAGCTCCAGTACTTATTTAATAAGAAACTCTTCCACTGTTTTACCAAACTCCCAACTTAGATAGCCCAATTTGGTCTACAAATTATATTATCCACTTTTCTACTAGCTTAACCCGAATACTAGCCTATGCCCTTTTCTTCTGATCAATTTTAGTGGCCTGGTTGGTATAGTGCTTGCCAAATATCCAGTCTTTGTTCAGATCTGCAGCTTTTTGGTTCTTTTTTTAGACTTTTTAAAACTGTTAAAAGTATGTATTACTTTTCTACTTGGAACTTGCCAAGCAGGTTTTTATTCAGAACTTGTCCCACAAATTTATACAGGTTACAGGAACTTATCATGGGCTTACATCACCTTTATCAGTTTGTATCTCTTTGTGTAACTTCTTTATTACACGAATGCTTCATGATCTTTCAAGTTTGTACTACTGCCTTCAATAGAGCTTGTGAGATAAGCCATCTGTTAGGTGATCATTACACCTTGCACTTATTTGATTTGACTGTCATTACAAGATCTACATCCCAATATCTGAATAGTTATCATTATACAGAAGAATTTGATTTTTCATTATTGGTGAGAATTAAACTCTGGATGTGCTACTTGGAAGTGACAATTTGACCACTTCACTAAGTCACCACACCCCATTGTTAGATTAGTACTCTTAGATTACAATAGTTATATTAATATAATTTTTGAATTTGTTTAGATCTTGTAGTATATTTGTATTTATTAACTATAAATTAAAAGTTTTGGTTTATAGTTTGTAGATTTTTTAATAAATTTGTATTTATTAATAATAAATATTACATTTACTTACTTTAAGTATATCTAACTATTTTTTTTTTTTTTTTTAATCTTCAAAAGTGAGGTCATGCCTCTATCTTTATTAAAATTCAATTAAACTTTTTTACAAAAAAGAAATTATATTATTTGAACTCTATATCCAAAGGATACTAAGACTAGAGACTCAGACAAAGCTTACATTGGAGTTATCTGTGACCTAAACCTAATCTAACTATTTTTTAAATATTTAGAATAAATATTTTTGTATATATTTATTAGTTTAGATATATTTATTAGTTTATAAGCTTTTATATATATAATTTTTTTTATTTTTAACAGTTTTAAAATAATAAATTATTTTAATTTAATTGGTTAATTATTATAGATAATTACAGATAGACCTATAAAAATTAATTAATTATATGAATATCACTCTATAAGATTAATCTACAGTTACTTGTAAATCAATATACAGGTTACTTGTAGGTTAATCTATAGATTATTTACGAGTTAATCTATCTGTTTTTACCCAGACTATTACAATTCAACCTGAGTTACCCACTCACCCACGGGTGACCCAGGAGATATCCATTTAGATCAAATTACTAGCCATATATGTAACTTTTGGTTGTCTATTTAAGTAATCTATTTAAAAGTTCTATACTATATGTCATATTTGTAATTTAATTAGAGAGATTACCTATTTAAGCTTGCTAATATTTCTTGTTCTATAGCACCACCACAATCACACTAGTACATAACCTTGTATTGCTTCAATTGAAGACTATTCAAATTGATATCTGCTATATTACTTGTATTCTAATTCTATAGATAATTTAATAGGATTTTTATACTATTAAGTTACTCTAGAGAGGTATAATACATATCTCTTTAATTTTTTATATCCTATAAATTTTCAGATTAAGCTTTGAATATCTTCTGCAATAGCTAAAACTACTACTAATAGTCAGAGCTAATTATTAAACTATACAATTTTGATATTTATGCTTTTATAAGATTCATTTTGATTTTAATATCTGCATTAAGCCAATCTTTTTACTGATTCTTCATAACTACTAAACTAATTAGCCTAGATAGGTTGTTGTATCTAGGCTTTAGGTGCTTTTTGGTTTTACTTCCCTTGGTTCTAATTCTGTAGTATAAGATCTTTTCTTTTGATACAATTCTGTCGACTAGGTTGGTAGACCTTTTTTGCCTTTTGGTTTTTATCCAGTTCTTTGGTTTTTAGTTCTGACTTTCTGCAATATTATTAAAGATCTTAACTATCTCCTTGCTTAGGTTTTGCCAAATAGGTTTCAATTATTTTAATTTTTGAATTTGAATCATTCAAGAGCTTCCATTTTAAGATGATAGTACTAAGGCTACAAATAATATACCCAACTGATTGTTGAATAAATGTTACTAGTACACAGACCTATTTTTCTAAAGACAACTTCAGTAGAATTCAAATTTTAAATCTGCTACTTAGGAATAACAACTTAACTACTACTCTAAGTTGTTACATCCTAATCATAAAGTTATTAATTATTAAATATTATTATTATTATTTTTTTTTTTTTTTTAATTTTTACAATGTTACATGAAAGCAGATTTTTATTAAATATTTTAGATAATACATTCTTGATTAATGAGAGTATATTTAGCTATACATACAACTTTTAGTTGTCTATCTATACTATATACTATACTTGTAACCTAACTAGGAGATTACCTATTTAAACTTTTTGATATCCTCTATTCTGTATTACCTACCACAATCACACTAGTATATAACTTTATACTGCTTTTTATTAAAGACCATCCAAATTGATATCTGCTATACTACTTGTGCTTTAATTCTATAGATAGCTTAGTAGAGTTTTTATACTACCAGGTTGCTTTTTTTATATTCTATGCATTTCTAGATTAGGCTTCAAATACCTTCTGCAGCAGTTAAAACTACCACTAGCAGTTAGAATGAACTATTAAATCACACAATTCTGATATTTGTGTTTTTACAAGGTTTGTTCTGATCTCAATACTTGCATTAATCAGTTCTTTAACTGATCTCTTTCAAACTACCAAACTAGTTAGCCTGAATGAGTCATTGTATCTTGGCTTTAAGTGCCTTCTAGTTTTACTTCCCTTAGTTTCTAATTCTGTAGCATAGGACCTTTTCCTCCAGTACAACTTTAGCAGCCAGGTTGATGGATCCTTCTTATTTCAAAATTTTTGTCCAGTTCTTTGGTCTTTAGTTCTGACTTTCTGCAATATCATCAAAGATCTTCACTACCTCCTTGCACAGGTCTTGCCAAATGAGTTTCAATTATTCTGATTCCTTGAATTTGGATTATCCAAAAGCTTCTATTTTGAGATGGTAGTACCAAGATTACAGGTGATATACCCAACCAATTGTCAAATAAATGTTATCAATACACAGGCCTATTTTTTTAAAAATGTCTCTAGTAAGATTCAAACTCTAAACTTGCTGCTTGGGGTGACAAATTAACTACTACTTTAAGTCATTACACTCTATTAAATATTATTAATAAATCTATAATTTTAATTAAAAATCATTTTTAAACTTTGATTAAAATTATAAAAATTTTGACCAGAATTATATCAACTCTTCAGCTAAACCCATCCACTACCTGAAAATCAGCTGATTTCTAGAAGCTCCCTAACTTGTTGTGTTAGTATAAATAATAGTAAAATTTATTTAAAAACCTTCAGCCTAATAAAACATAATTTCTGTCTTGTAAATTTTTAAGCTATTATTTTAAATATTAACTTTGAAAAGCTACATTAATAAACAAACTTATACATTACAACATTTACTATAACATAATAATACCCCAAAGTATATAAAATATATGGGCTAGGTGCTGAGAAAAGGGAAAATCAATTTTTATGCTATAAATCTTATAATAAATCATAAGGAAATACAAACTTTAAAGAGCTATACCACAAAATTTTATTAATACAACTACTTTTATGTCTTAAGTGAAAAATGATTCTAATCTTATTCTAAATTGATTTATGTAAAAAAATATCATTTGAAAAAATTGTCAATTTCGTCCCTTTTCTCAGCACCTAGCCCATATAATAACTGCTACTTTAAGTTGATAACCTTTTTTCTCAAGTCTTTGCCACAATATATAAGTTAAAAATAAACTCCCAGGAATGTTTGCAGGCATACTAATACTATGTATAATTTCTGTAAAATCAGAATCAAGATCATCATGGTTTTTTATGTGAAGTAGGTTCTTCATTTTTATTTGTGCCTAACTCAGTAATCACACATCCAACTGTTGCCTCACTAATACCGAAAACCGTGGCAACACAGTGGTACCTCTGGTCATTTCTTCCCGCGATGGTGAATGTCCAAAAAGTAAGATGGGTGTCGATGATCATTCGTCGTTCGTTGTTAGTCAATGGAATTCGATCTCGTTTATATTAAAAAAAATTTCGAGAAAAGCGCCCAAAAATTAAAATTGAAAGACTGTTTTTACCTTTTTTGTAATGTATATCATCACATGATTTGTATCTACATTTTTGCACCGGACCAAATTTTTATTTATTTAACAAAATTTAAAAATTTAACGTAATCACGCCACGAGAACCATTTATAGAAATTTTCAAAACTTAATAACATTTCAAATTGCGTATAACCATAAAAGAAAAGTTAAAAACGAACATATACAAATTTCGTAGTAGGTTGTATTTAAGAAATTCTTACAAGCCACAATGCTTAGGCAATACGCGGTTACGGCGAGAGTCCTCGACGAAACAGGTTGAATGCATGATGACGTAGATCGGTGGGTAAATTTTGTATACAAAAAAAGAAATAAGGAAAGGCCTATTGTTAACGTTAATGATGTAAGAATTCAAAGCATTTTTTGCATTAAACAATCATTAGAAATTATTAAGAAGTTTTTCTAAAACTTCTGGCGGGGAGGCTACGTATTTTGCAAATGTGGTGGCTTCAAAAAATCAACATAATAAATTATAATCGATATGGTAAATTATTTAAACGAGGGAAACTTAATTCCAGGTTATGATCGTGTGTGAATCCAAGAAAAGAGGCATCCGCTTTGAAAATAAAGTGGCTATGCGGTATAGGAAAGAAATTTGATTAATAATAAAATTTTTTTTTCTTTATCAACTGTCTACTTTTCCGAATAAAAACACAGCCACATATATATTGAATATTATGAGGATTGAGACGTTCTTTTTTTTATAGGTGGATATCAATTCTTTCCTTTTTCTGAAAATCGATCATTTTTGAAATCAAAAAAGAAACTCCAAAAAAAACAAATCGATTTTTTTTTTTTTTTTTTATGAATGAGAAAATTGGAATTCGTCATAAATTAATATTTTTGATAAAAAGATAATCATTAATATAAAAATAAAAATTTTTCTTGAAGAGAAAACTTATCTTTATGTATGGCTACAACCAATACATCCACAAGTAATCCAACAGAAAATCATGAAGGATCAGAGCTCAATATAAATTCACCACTCGTAATCGCGTTTATTGCGATTATGATTATAGTACTAATAATCGGTGTGATCGTTATCGTTTTTTTCGTTTTACGTTATCAAAATAAGTCAGCTTCACCCTCTTCAAAAGCTCGAGGTTTAAGAAAGTTTAGAATTGGTTCTGAAGCACGTGATGATGGACATACACATAAAAAACGAGATTCAGATGTTATACTTGATCTTGAAGGAAAAGAAGAATCATTTGAGGAATCTTACGCTGAAGGGGCAGTCGGTCACCAACAGCATCAACTGGGTGGAAGGTCTATGCCTGTCAGATCACAAACCATATATGGAACTCAACCGCCGTCGACTTCGACGATTGATTTGCAATCTTCAACTATACAAGTTCCAATGATGCAAGAACACCATTTTATGGCACATCATCATAATAATGATGATAACAGTTAAAAAAAAAAAAAATGAAAATAAAATAAATAAAAATGTATTTAAATAATGTAAGTTGGAAAGTGGGAAAATCGTTTGTATATAGGTATTTAACATTGTCTTTTTATTTATCAATGATTAGAATTTTTTTTTTAATTTCTTCAATGAAATCAATGAAATCATTGTAATTTTCTAAAAAAAGGAAATGCAACTAATTGAGAAGTTATATACAAATATATATTCTTGTACTTCTGGTTCAGAAATTAAACAATTGTTGAGAAATTAATTTATTATGACTATAACGATAAATTCACTTTCTTGTTATTTCTCCTGCGGTGTCTCGTGTAACGATGTTGGCAGTCAGTACTTGTAACAACGATAACAACAAGTATATACACGCATGATCGTTGCCTGATGATAATATAATTAGTAATTAGAGGTGCGGACGGACATTTACTTTAACATATATAGTAAATGCTTGTAAATGCTTAAACAACATCTAACGAGTTGCACTTCTAATAGTGATAGCGAATTATTAGGATATCAGTTTCAGTAATTATTGATAGTAATCAACAAAGATAATGAAGAAGTCTATAACGACAAATTTTTTTAATCTAATAAATTTACTATAAAATGGCAGATTGGAATAAAAAAGCGAGGGCAAGGATCCCGATTGTTTTACTAATTATGGAATTTAATGATTGGATGAGTACGTTTGGAGCACTGGATTGCAAGCTAGTTACAGTGTTCGGATTATCCTGAGTAGTATACCTAAAGAAAATACATATCAATAATGAGAATCAATATACGTATATATATATATATATATATATATATACAAAATTTAGGAAAGAATTAAAATGGGTAAAATACTATATAATTATATATTATATATTATATATTATATAGATTATATATTAGATATTAAATAAAATACATTACCCTAAAGTCGTCAGAATTTTAAGAGTTTTAGGGCCAATACCAGCACCATTAGAAACCCCATTAGATTGAGCAAAATCATCTAGAGTAACACCATCTTTTGCAGCAAATGTCATTAAAAAATCACCATTTTGCATAAAAGATTTATCTACATGACTAATACTTGACCCTTCTTGAAAAGGTTTGAGACCGGTTTCTAAGAATACTTGATCTTTTGAACTAGTTACAAATTGCATTGAGAATTGTGTAGATGCAGACGTGAATAATTGTTGTGAAAGTAAAAATTGAGAAGAATTTGCAAATTGATTTAAACTAATTGAAGAATTTGTAAAAAGGCTATTAAATTGTTTGGTGAGTGAAGTCATTGGTACAAAAGTGCCATTCTGTTTAACGAACATGTATCTATCAAATTTTGATTCCACAAATCCCGAAAGTCTCTGACCACTAGTTACTGGCAATGGGGTTAATATATCAGCACTAAAATAATTTCTCCAACTTGACCCGAAACCTAGTCCATGAATGAATTCATGAGTTACTATATATTCAAAGTCATTCTGACCTTGTTTTATTTTACCATCGCCTCGGAAAAACATGTTTGCTTGCGAATTAAAGTTTGCTAAAATATCATATGAACCATATTGTGGACGGTTTTTCAAGTTCATTTGTTTTACTAAAGCCTGAGGATAAAGTCTTGTCACATTATCATCATCTTCTATTGGGATTGATCGCGCAGGAGCTGCAGACCCTGATAAACAAAAAGAAGTATAAACCTGCAGTTCAAACTTATAAAAGCATTTAAAGAAAATGTACATACCCAAAACTAAGCCATTGCCATTTGAACATTCATTAAGCGTTTTGCAGAAGTCAGTGAAAGTAGCATTTACTTTTATTACAGTGTTAAGCTTTAGTACGGAAGCTATTCTTTTACCAACAGAATTAAAAGCGTCTTGAGCTTTAGTGCAAAGTGTTTTATCACTGACCCCGCAGTGAAAATCTATGCTAAACGCTTGATCAGGACTAAGATTTCCAACTACACCATTTAATTGTTTGCTTTTTGTAGTTACCATGTCACATTTTGATTTTATCATCGAATCATGGTTATATGGGTAAGTAGTATAATCATAGCATGTATGTACTTCAGATGCGTGTGCTTGACCAGCAATGAATCCAGTGGAGACTAGTAAAAAAATCAGGAAAACTGGTAGCAACGATATGAGCTTCATACTTGTACGTTACGCAATATAAATATATATGTAAATTTATTATTTAAAGAATTTGCCCTGCAAATTCTATAAATGTTTCGAGCGTTAACGTTGGAATCGTTGCTACAATTTTTCCTGAAGAGGAATAATGGTTGATTTTATACGTTGAGAAAATCCATGATACCTAATTAGCATATATAATTATTAGTAGGTTTCATATTGGTGTTGCTTCTTTGTATATCAAAACGGGCTTTGTACATTAATTTTTTTGCAGAGCAGTGCATTATATTTCTCACAATCCTTTGTTTATCAACCAATGAAACTTTAAACTTGATAGTTTTGGGTATTGTGCTAGAAGAATACATTATTTGAATTGTTATTTTATTCATTTTATTTTTAAATATGCTTTGTTATCCTTATTTACTTTATGAGTATTATTTGTGTATAAATATGAGAAATGTTTCATGTATAAAACTGGGGTATGTCACCCAAAAACATAATCTTATTTGTGCTATGGTTATCGTTTATCGTTATCGTCGTGTATTGTCCTTATATGCTTAGTAATTATTAGTGCTGCCCTATCGCTATCGCTATACTGCATTTCAAACATATCGGTCATATGATTTTATGATACTTTATTGCCTAATTCTTGACAGTTCTTGACATCTAGTAAAAAGTTATGAAATTAATTTGTGAGAAATATTTGTCTATTTTTTAGCATTTATTTTAGAATTATGTTAATTGGGTGCTGCTAAGGGAAAATCTGTGAAATTCCGATGACAAATTTTCCCTCAATAAATTGGATTGTCAATTATAGTTGTAATCTAATACAAACTTGGGATGTTAATCGTTTCTGTCAAATATATTTAAATATAATACATACGTACGTACGTACGTATAAATTGTTAGAATATCAATCCGGCTTAGAAGGTAGTACACATATGCATGTGTATGTGTAAAAGAAAATTATTTGGCAGTTATCGTTATACTCCGATTGATACTATGTAAGTGACATTGCACTATAATGAACGTTATAAAATTTCTATATATAGTATGTTTGAGTAATAGAAATATTTTACGTGCGTACGTGTACGTACGTACGTAGTATATTGCTAAAAGCGACAACTTTGATACATGCATATGTATAATAAAAAATATAGTTGAGTATGATAATTTTAGTAATAAAATAAAATATACGTAGAATATTCTTTTAATAAATATCCCCTTACATCGTTTTACAGTAAATTTACCTGTAACTTAGTGAATATATGCGCTTTTCCCGGAAATCTCACATGTATTATAAGGTACGTACGTACGTACGTATCTGACGTTATATGAAGATTAAACTGCCTATTCGAAAGCTTTTTGCAAATATCATTTTTGATAACATAAATTTTCTCGGAATTTTTCATTTACTTTTTGGGTTTCGTATCATTCATATAATCTGTGCGACAAGATCTGAGGCTATCATAGTAGTGAGAAAATTTTTCAATCTATTAATTGAATAAAACAATAAATGAAACTTGGTAAAATACACAAAAGTAGCAACTGAAACAGTCGAAATAATCAGTTGATCAATCGACTAGTCGATTAATTGACCAATCGACCAATCGATTAATAGATTAGTTGGCCAATCGATTACGTAGCGGTAGTCGATTAGTCAAAATTGTGTAAATTTTGTAAATTTTGCAGATTCCCGATTTCTATATATATCTATTTTTTAAATTTCAGTTTAGACTTTGATATAGTTACTTATCATTAAGAAATACGTATTACCGCAATTTTTTTACGTAATACAGTAATATATAGTAGTAATACCGTAAAACGCCGTATAAGGTACCCCCCTTGATTTGTACCCCCCTTGATTTGTACCGGGTATGTTTCAAGGTTAT